GCAGAGTTGTAACTTGAACCCCAAACCTGCCTGATCTTCCCAGTACGCTGATGAAATTACGAAAATGTGGCTTTTGGAGATCAGGCTTCAGATACGCTGTTCTGAGAACATGAAAGTTGCAGCTATTTGCAATTCAGTGTGACCTATTCTTTACTCTAAATTAAAGATAATTTGCTCATACATTCTAAGTAACTTCTTTTGGGATTTTCTTCTAGATGGTATATGTTTATGTCCTTTTGTGGCACCTTAGTTTCTTAATGTGTTAAAAACGCTATCTATAAACAGGAAACACATGGTAAAATAAATCTATTATAAATCTATAATAGAACTAAAATAACTTCTTATCATCTTGGGTAGTAATATTTTCCTGCAAAAGGAGGCAGGTGAAATTCTAGTGCTTTAACATTGATTCTAATGCTTCAATTCAATGAAAATCTATTTAAAATATATAAGTGAAAAATGTAAGCAATTAAGAGTAAAAACAAATTCGGTAGCATTGGATTCACATTAGTGTTATTCAGTGTTTCTTATTCTCCAGTGGAACAGTGAGTTCCATAAAATGGACCAAGAAGGTAAAATCAAATAATGAAGATCTTTTCCTAATTTGTAAGAAAAACATTTAACGTATACATTTTTATAATTTTAAGTTTTTATAATAAATTATTCTTAAGCCTGCAGTGTCTATCATCACTCATCGAATACTGTAAGCTAGCAATAGTATGAAATGTGATCGAGTAAAAAAAAAAAAATTGCCTCTGAATTGCTATAATAGATCAAGTACACAGAGAGTACCCTGGCGCCCAGGTGCTTGGCCACCTGAACTAGTTTGAGAAATTAAGCCATCAGTGAAGTTACTGTAAAATTATTCGTTAAATACACTCATGACAAGTCAGCCTTATTACTGTAAAATATGGAATGACTCCACTGAGTAATTATTCAAATATTTATGTGTGAAGTTTCCTTCTTTGCATTCAGCCAGTATAATAAAATGCTTATGAAAAATTAATGTCTTAGATACAGCATAATGGACAGTTTCTTTTAGCCTATTTATATATAAAACGCCAAAATAAATGTTAAGAAAACATTTGCAAAGTACATTTAGTATTCCCCTCTATCACCCCTCCAAAAGAAAACACCAGTATGAAATAGTTCTGTGATTCTGTGAACTTCATCTCCTCAAGCTGCACAGTACCTAGCTCATCTGTGATGGAAGAATATGATCATTTAAATGCAACAAGAACATCTTTGTAAATGGGCCTCCCCTTGCACAGCAGCACAGAGCTAGAATTCATCTCACCATTGGCTCTGCTTCCCATAAATGAAGGAACTGAGTAACCAAGAAGCCAGCTAGACCTTCCTCCCTTCCTGAGCTTTGAGGGCCAGGTCTTTGCAAATTCCACCCTTCCTTCCTGAAAGTCTGAACTCAAAAGGGCAGTAACAGAGAGATGGAAAAAACATGCACATCCACCCCCTGCTGACCTTTCATCTCTTCTAAGATGGTCTCAGTGTATTTGCCATGGAAAGCATGCCCAATAGATATAATACCAAGAATGGCTTCGGGATGACTTTTTAATGGGTAGAAAAAAATTATTACAGCTGAGATTTGAAGAACACTCTTGACGTTCTCTATGGAGAATGTGGGTTACACCTAAGTGAAGTAGCTGAATGCTCTGTTAGAGAATGCTCTACCCAGAGTGGTTTATAGGAGTCAAACACAGGTTTATATCACCTTTATGGGTCTGAAGTAAATAAAGGAACTTGTAAATGTCACACAGAAATTTTTTTTAATTTTTATTTTATATTGGAGTATAGTTGATTAACAATGTTGTATTAGTTTCAGGTGTACAGCAGAGTAATTCAGTTATAAATATGCATGTATCTATCCAAATGTTTTTCAAATTCTTTTCCCATTTAGGTTATTATAGAATATTGGGAACTCTACTCAATATTCTGTAATGTTTTTTAAATAAACATTTTATTTTAGAATAGTTTTGGATTTACGGAAAAGTTGCAAAGATAGTACAGACAGTTGTCATATACCCCGTACCCAGTTTTTCCTATTAACATCTTACATTACCAGGGTACATTTGTCATAACTAAGAAACCAATATCAGTACATTATTATGAACTAAATTCTATACTTCATTTGTGTTTCATTTGTTTTTCCCTGATATGTGTCTTCTGTTCCAGGATACCATCGAGGATGCCACAGTACATTTAGTCATCATGTCTCCTTAAGTCTCATCCAGACTTGCACAAGTATTTTTAAATTACTGAAATATAATTGTAGTGGCTTTGGGATTTTACTATCTATTCAGTAATTAAGACAGAATTAACCCTTGGTCAGGGACTCTGAATTCTGATCCCCTTTCCCACGTGGGAGGAACCCTCTTTGTTTCCCAATTCAAAATATTTTAGATGATGACAACTTGAAGAAATATCCTTTCTGGATAACTTTAGAGAGGTAGGAAATTACCTGGGGTAACTTTAGAGAGAACTAGGAAATTACCCCCTTGGCACACCATAGCCGGCTTTCCTCCAAAAATTTACTGCTGTTATATCCAAAGGAAGAGCAGGAAAATTTGTTGTGCCTGTGGATGTTACAGCCTGGAGGGGAGGGCTCTTTTAAAAAAAAAAAAAAAAAAAGATATTTTTAAATTACAGAACCCTATAACGGTGACTAGTTTCACCAGGCAGGCTAAATGCAATAGCCTGTTTATTTTTTTTAACTTAACCCATAACTAAAGGTAATGCACAATTTTGTATTATGTACCTATAACCATAATTATAAGAGAGAGGGCATGAATTAAGCTATCAAGAAATAGAATCTGAGAAAGAAAGCAGTCATTGCTTTACTCAATCTTAGGGCTTGTTTTAAAGGTGACAGTGGAAAGTCCTGTTGACATGAAGCACTTGTGCTTTCATTGCTCTAGTTTCCTGCTTTTGTAAAAGGAAGTTAAGCCTAGCCTGCTTAACTACAGAAATATTTCAAGTTAACTAACGTTTTCCGTTTCTTCTGCCACCTTCCCAGCTCAGGCTGTGAGCCCTGCGCTCCTGGAACCGTTGCAGTAATAACCTCATTAGATTCAAGCATGTGTTGTGTATTCTCTTAACTGCCTCTGTTTGCAAACCACTTCGGTCCAGCCTACACGTCACTGCTAGATTAAACCTCCCCAAACACCATTTTCATGGGCTGAGTATCCTACTCAGAAATCTTTAGGGGCTTCTCATTTTCTAGAGAAGAAAACTGAAATTGTTTAGACCGGCATTAAAAGTACCTTTAATGATTTAGTTCCAACTTAAAATTTTCAACATTATTTCCCTCCACTCTGGTGAACCAAAGTCCCTACATCAGTCAGATATTTCTTCTTTCAGTTCCTTCAAAACCTTCATTAATCACATAATCATTATCAACAAACAGTTATTTTGCAACTTCAGGACGGTAGGATTTCCTGCTTAGGCTCCTTGCTTAGTTTCTTTCTTGACTCTCATTTCAGATTTCTACCCTTTCTTTTAAAAAGGCCCAGGTAAAATCCTACCTTCATTTTTTTTAAACTCCCACTTACCCTGTCCCTGGTGATCTCTCTCCTGAGACCTCTCCTGATTGCAATATGTACTCTCAATATGTTGGTATATTTTCTTCTGGTCTTATTTTCTATATATGCATACTTATATGGGTCTCTATCAAATTGGCATCATACCAATTAAATGATTTTTCACTCTTTTTTCACTTAACATATCATGAACATTTTCATAGCATTAAATATTTTTGAAATGAGATTTTTAACGGTTTCATAGATAATCTACATCAAATTCCACATTGGATTCAGGCATTTACCTAGAGCAGGACATTGGTTTCCATTTTTTTGCTATAATAAATAATGCTGTCCTGAACATTCTTACTCATCTCTAATTATGTACTTGAGATAAATTCCTGTCTCATCAGTGCTGGGTGTTATGATTTGCCTATACTGTTTGTTAATTAAGTAATTAAAACCTATCTCATTGTACTTTGACACATTCTGGTTATAAGACCTTTATCAGAGAGGTGTTCTGCAAATATTTTCTCCCAGTCTGTGGCTGGTCCTTTCATCACTTAACAGCATCCTTCTAAAGGCTTAAACTTTTAATTTTGATGATTTTCAGTATGTCGAATTCTCATGGAATTTGCTTTTGGTTTGATCCCTAAGAAATCCTCACCTACCCCAAAGTCACAAGGATTTTCCCCTATGTTTTCTTCAGAAGTTTTATAGTTTTAGGTGTTATACTTAGGTCTATGACCCATTCTGAGTTCATTTTTGCATGTATTATAATATGAGATATGGACTGAAGTTCAGTTGAGGAGTGATACTTAATAAAAGATCAGGAATCTTTCCCAAATAAGGAAAGTAGAATAACTCATCTGTCAAAGGTATGTTTGTTGTTTGAAGAGGGGAGATGTTTGCCTTTGATGTAATACAGAGTAAATTACTGCTACTGATTCATTGAGTCTAATTTGGGGCACACCTCAGATTAATTTATGAATGATTATTGGCAGAAAACCATACATTGCATTACCACTTAGGTTATTTGTTTGGGGGATAGAATTGCTGATTTCACCTAAGCCATTAAGGTAATCATATTAATTAATGTATTTATTTATATAACAAGCATTTTTGAGGACCTAAGTCATACCAGTCACTGTACTTCTTAGATGCTGTGGGAAAATAATTTCTTTGCAGCCCATGAATAACCTGTATGCAATTAACATCTGATTTCTAGAATGAAAGGGAGTCAAAGTAATTATCTTTCTTAAACCACAAAGTTATTATATTAGGAACATCTGTCAACAGTAGGAAACGGGTTCTTGGGAATGTACTACTAAAGATTATTAAGGATAGGACTGTGATAAATAAGAAAATTTTGTAGTGACTGTGGTTTGGAGTTATTTGTGAAATAAAAAGTTTCTCAGTAATTGGCAGTGCCACCAAAGCTTTTTAATTGCCTGCTTTTCTCTGTAGGTCATCAGTTCAATGAGCTCCCTTTCTGAGTACTGCCTGCCTTCCATTCTACGTACGTTATTTGACTGGTATAAAAGGCAAAATGGCATTGAGGATGAATCACATGAATACAGACCAAGAACCAGCAATAAATCTAAAAGGTACACTTCTCTTATGTAAGGATTATGAGGATTATAGTTTTTTCTGCCTTTCTCTTTTTTTTTTTTTTTTTTTTT